ATGTGTGATGCCATTTCGGGGTAAGCATCCCAAAGCCCTCAAGGTCTCAAAACACACACATGGACACCCTGGGCATCTGGAAACACTTTATGATAACATCTATGGTGACCATACAAGACATATCACTGGGTAAAAGGTACAGCAAAGCCATTCTGCTAAGAAAGATGATGGGCAACTGACACTAGATAGTCAAACCTCTAGGAAAAGAGGAATAAACCCTAGCTGTAAGATATAATATTTCATTAAATTAAAAACGTATGAGAGTGTAGGCACTGGTGGGACTGCTTCTGGTAAAGATGAAGTAAAGGAACTAGACTATGGCTTCTGCCTGAATTACCACCCCCTGCCCCAAAACCCCACACACAAAATATATGAGACAACAGTTTTCAAAGCAGTGCACATTGGGCTATGAAAGAGTGATCTCTGGGAGACAGGAAACAAACAGGCCCCAACAGATCCAGATTCCTGCATCCAGTTTTCAGGCTGCGGAGCAGGTGCCTTGAACTAAGGTTGGAGTCTGCAAGATGAAGGCCCAGAAGGGAGAGATGCAGCCATAGTGGAGCTGGATCTGCAAGGAGACCTCAAGGGTCTACCTAGAGTATTCAGCAGAATGTGTGGGGAAACTACCAAGGCCAGGAGGGAAAGCACCACCCAGAAAGTTTAGAGACAACAGTGTCTGGTGCTTACACAGGGCCTAGAATAGCACCTTCCCAGAAGCCAGACTGGAAAACCACAGGACACTGGTATTCAAGAAGGTTTTGCCTCAGTAGTGGGGGCAATTAGCCCTGGATAAAACACTCTAGTCTTGCTTAACAAATCTTAAAAGCAAGATTTTAAAAGATCAAACTGTTTCTAAATAATTTAACTAAGTCCAGAACAAAGCTCAAGAATATTTATAGGAATACAAAAATATCACACAAGTCAAAATACACAATGTCCAACATCTAATCAAAGATTATCAGACATGCAAAGTAGGAAAAACAACCTTTAATGGGGAGAAAATCAGTCCATCGAAACAACCCAAACTGACAGAGATGACAGAATTGGCAATAAAACAGCTATTATAACTGTAATCCATATGTTCAAAAGTTAAGTACAGACAGAGAAGATACAAAAAAAAAAAAAGACACTGAACACCTAAACAGAAAAACTAATGAGATGACAATTATACCAGATAGCATTAATGGGAGATTAGACATTGCAGAAGATTAGAGAACTTGAAAAAAATGGATAACTTGAATAGGTCTACATCTACTAGAGAAATATGTAATTTGAAATCGTTCCACAAAAGAAGCCAAGATGGCTTCACTGGGGAATTCTCCCAAACATTTAATAAGAAATAATACCAATTCTATACAAACTCTTCTAGCAGATGAAAAGGAGGGAATATTTCCAACTCCTTTATGAAGCCAGCATTAGTCTGATACCACAACCAAACAAAGACATTACAGGAATACAAAACAACACAAAAACCTTTGTGATCACAGATGCAAAAATTAACAAAATGTCAGCAAATTGAATCCAACAATATGTAAAAAAGATAATACCTCATGACCAAGTAGGATTTATCTCAGGAATGTGAGATTGGTTTAATATTTGAAAAATCAATCAATTTAATAAACTGAAAAGCAAAAATTATATGATCATCTCAATAGTCGGAGAATTTGTCAAAATCCAACAAGTATTGATAAAAACACTCAGCAAATTAGGAACAGAAAAGAACTTCCTCAACCTGACAATGGCTATTTTTGAAAAACCCACATCTAATATCATATTCCATGATAAAAGACTGAAAGCTTTTCCCCCTAAGATCAGGAGCAAAACAAAGATGTCTGCTTTTTCCATGTCTATTAACTATACTGGAGTCTCTAAACAGTGCAGTGAGGCAAGAAAAGGAAATAAAAGACATGCAGGAAGAAGTAAAACTATCTCTAGTCACAGATGACATGCTTGGCTATGTAGAAAATCTGATGGGCTCTACAAAAAGCTACTAGAAATAAGTGAGGTTAACAAAATAGCAATATACAAGATCAATATATAAGTCATTTGTATTTCTATATGCTAGCAAGAACCAGAAATTGAAAATATAAAACCGTTTATAATACATAAAAAATATGAAATGCTTAGGGATAAAATTCACAAAAGATGTATAAGACCTGTATGAATACTAGAACTAAAAACCATTGCTGAAAGAAATTAAGGAAGATCTAAATAAACAGAGAGCTGTTCCTTGTGATCAATTGGCAGACTCTGTATTGTCAACATAGCAATTCTCCTCACACTGATCTATAAATCAACGCAATCCCAATCAAAATTCTAGTAGGCTTTTTGTAGAAATTGGCAAACAGAATCTAAAATTCATATGGAAATACAAAGGATCTAGAATAGTCAAAAAACTTTGAAAAATGATAAAGTTGGAGGCCAACTTAATTTCAAGACTCATTATACCCATATGCATATGGACAATGATTTTTGACAAACGAGCCAAAACAATTCAGTGGGGGAAAGGATAGTCTCTTCAATAAATGGCACCGGAGCAACTGGAGATGTACAGGGAACATTGAACTCAGATTTCTACCTCAAACATATACAAAAAAAAATCTAAAATTTCTAGATTATAGAACTAAAGGTAAAACCTAAAACCCTAAAATGTCTAGAAGGAAACATAAGAGAAAATCTTTATGATCTTAGGGTAGGCAAAGAGTTCTCAGACAGATTCTAAAAGCACAATCCATCAAAGACCAAAGTGAAATGTAGACTTCATCAAAATTTAAAACTTATGCTCTCTGAAAGGTATAATTAAGAGAATCAAAAGACAAGCTGCAGGCTGGGAGAAAATACTAAACTACAAGACAAATAGCTGGTATAGGACTTGCATCTAGAATACATAATAAACTCAAACATTTGTTAATAAGAAAAGAAAACCACCCCATAAAAATGAGCAAAATATTTGAACTCACACTTCATTAAAGAAGGTATATAGAATGGCAATGGATATATAAAAAGATGGTTTGCATCATTAGGGAAATACAAATTAAAACCACAATGAAATTCCACTAAAATAGCTAAAATTAAAAAGACTGACAATACCAAATGTTGGCAAAGACATGGAAGAACTAGAACTCTCATATACTGCTGGTAATGTGCAAAACGGTGTAGTCATTTTGAAAAGCAGAAAATACCTTATAAAGTTAAATATACACTTTCCATATAACCATGAAAATCTACTCCTGGATATTTACCCACAAGTAATGAGATAATAACGAAGGTCAGACAATTAAGTTCACTTACACAGTGGAAATTTCGTGAACTTAACTGTCCGACTTTTCATATTTCCACACAACGACCTATTTGTTAATGTTCATAGCAGCTTTATTCATAAAAACTGGAAACCCAAATAACCATTAACTGGTGAAAGGATAACCAGTTGTGATACCCATACCACTCAGCAACAAAAAAACAAATTACTCTCACACAGTATGCATGAATCTCACAAGCACTAACCTAAGTGAAAGAAGTCAGGTATAAAAAAAGACCGCAAAATCCATTCAAATGAGATTCTAGAAATGGAAAAATATACTGACGGAAAGCAAATCAGATTGCCAAGGACTGGGAGTCAGGGGACAGGACTGAATGCAAAGGTGCCTCAGGAAACTTTGGAGTGATGGAAATAGTTTGTATCTTAATTGTGGTGGTGGTTATAAAATTGTACACATTTGTTAAAACTTATTGAAATACATAGTATATGTAAAATTATACCTTAAAAAAGTTGAAAAAATATAATAAACATACAAACGTAAGACAAAGAAGGGACATATGTCCATTAAATTGTCAATAGTAGTCTTTTTTGGGTGGTGGAAACATAGATGGTTTTTATTTTCTTCTTTGTACTTTTTATGTAGTAAATTTATGTAGTCATAATTTTTATAATGTACTCACTTATGTAAACAGAAAAAAATTTAAATTCATATTTTTAACAGGATATCACATTGCTTCCAAAATGTGGATAATATTAGACTATTTAAACAAAACTGTTATTCTTTAAAAACAAAATATCAGAAAAACCCGTTGGCTTGCAAATGGAATATCCAAATAGTAAAATGTACTTTTCACTATTTTTTCTTATGTTAGAAACGCAACATCATTGCTTTAAATTAAATGTATCAAAATGTTTGCATGTTTTAATTGCAACAAGTAATCACAAAACACAATGAAGTGGGGGAAAAAAAATCTCTATTAAAATCTCTAAGTGAAAACACAATAAGAGTTTTATATATAACATAATGGAATTATAATATTAATTTGCTGCATATTTGGAAAATATTAAGTCATGTGGCTCTTACAAACACATCTTTCTCCTGTAATGGGATAACTTTAAATATCTTTCTAGGAGCTTAAGCCTGAAAATAAAATAAAAATCCCACAACCACCAAAAAATGAAAACACTCATTGACTCTGGACATGCTGTCATAGGACTCCTGTTCTTGTTGGAGGCAAACACTTGGATTTCTAGTATTTCCTTCATTATTGACTCTGAAACAATACTGAGGACCACATACTGTATTTCCCCATGTATAAGACGCTCCCATGTATAAGACACACCTTAATTTTGTGGCTCGAAATTTGAAAAAAATGTATTACATAAAGTTATTGAACTCAAGTTTTAGTTGTCACAAAATTCATACAACTCCTCATCACTTGCGGGAAATGCAAGTAAAAAAATCTACAACCACTGTATAAGATGCACCCAGTTTTTAGACCCCAAAATTTTTGAAAAAGGGTACGTCTTATACATGGGAAAATACGGTAATCCATGTTTGTAACAATTTTACTGGAGTTGGATAGCTGTGAAATTTAGACAACTATAAAAACAACCAGGTAAGTGAGAGACAGGATGCTGGCCTCATCATGTCCTGAAGATCGCATCTAAGAAATTTCAGCATTTATATCTCAATGAGAATTCTAACAAGCTCTACTTTTTGCCATATATGGAACCTTACCTGGTAGAGCTCTTCCAGGTTGTATCTGATGGAGGTACTACTTTGTATGGCTTTCACTGCCTCATGAAGTTTCTGCCAGGTGTCCTGAGTGTAGTTATCAGGCAATTTAGGTCTGTCTGTAAATCCAGATAGAGTCAGTGGGGAATGACATCCATGCTAACAGTCACAATTTTTCAAAAAACAGTCTATGAAAATGTATAACACTTTAAAAGACACACAGAAATTAGGCTTTTTCAATACAAAGTATGGTATTTATAAAAAGTCTGTTAGGTTACAGAGTATGCAACTGTAATATCTTTGTTTGCCTAAATACACTTCGTATTGATACTTAGGATAAAAACACACAGGAAATATACAAATCTTAGCTTCCTTTATACTTAAGTTGACTTTAGAGACGTATAAACATGGAATAGCTAAGTTCTATACAACATTTAAAGTCGACTTAAATTGTTCAACGTTGGGAGGAAGGTGAAGAATACGCGTATAACTGCTATCTCTGCATCAAAGATGCTGCTTACTTTGAGATAGCATCAGTGATAGCACTGATGAAAAGTGGAGGAAGTAAAAAAAATTACATCACAAAGAGCGTCAGTAGCTGCTACTTATTCTCGCTCTGCCGTGCCAATCAAGATACCTGAATTATTTGGCCTAATTTATTCCAACTGGACCAACTAATACATAGATAAGGAGAAAGCTGCTACCAGTAAACTCAACCCGCTGTCCTCACCGCAGCTTAAGCCGACATTCGGAAAGGCCCGCGCCCTCATCCGGGGGACCTAGGGACCCCTAACCTACTCTAAGAGCCTAGGAGCCGGGACCAATGACCGCCAACTGGGAAGGAAACTTCCGAACAGCCGGGGGGTTCAGCGGACCACTACACTCCCAACCCCCGCCGCCACTGGCGCCTTGCGGCCGCTCCACTCAACACCTCCAGCCGCCCCCCCGCCGTTGCTTCTCCCCAGGCCGACCCCCCAACTCTGTCCCGGGCCGCCCCCCAACTCCATCCTCAGCCCCCAGGCTCCTCCCTGTAGCTGTCCCCTCCCCCCGGGCCCACTAGGTCCCCCGTCCCTAGGCCGCTCCCTGTACCCACCTCGGAAATTCTTGATCACTAGTTTCTTGGAGCCGCCGCTGCCCCCTGGCTTGGAGGTGACGGCGGCCGCGGCGAGGGACGCGGGCTTGGTGAGGCCATTGGTGTGCCCGACGAGCGCCGAGAAGTTGCCCTTCCTGGGGGTCTCGTCGGCCATGGCTGCGGCCGGGAAGCAGCGGGCGCCCCGCCCCGTCCGGCCGCCTCCTCCGCCTCCTCTCAGACCCGCGCGGCCGGGCGGCCGGGCCTCTCCTCTCCTTTCCCTTCAGCAACTCCCGGCTCCGTCACCGCTGCTCCGTCCTGGCCCAAACGCCGCTTTGGCCTGGCCCAACCGCCGTCCGGTCTCCGCCCGGCCCCTGCTCCAACGCAACCCTGGGCCCGTCCCGGACCCCGACCCCGAAGCTCGCGAGCGCGGCCAGTCCGCGTCAGCCGCGGTCCGTGTGAAACTTGCAACAGTCGAGGGGGCGGCGGAGCGCAAGCTGTGTCAGCTCCGGGGGCCCGGCGCGTCCCAGGGCACCTGAGGGGCACGGACGAGGCGTGCTCGCCGAGGGGAGGCTGGGGAATCGCAGTACAAGAGACCCCAGCCTTCCTCAGCCCGGGCGCGTTGCCATGCCGGATTGGGGATCACGCTCCCGCAAACACTCCCAGCGGAACCGAAGTGCGGAGAAAGTGGGGTCGGAGGCGCGGGGCCGGGAACGGACCGCGGGTCGGAAGTGACGGAACGGCCCGGCGCTCAAGCTCCGCCTCCTTCGGGTGAGCTCCGCCCGGTCCTGGGGGGTGGGCGCTGCCATGGCGCACATCACTATAAACCAGTACCTGCAGCAGGTAACGTTCGTTGGGCCCAGTTGCTCGCGGTCTGCGGAGTCTCCTCTATCCCCTGGCCTGCTGGATTTTGGGGTCCAGGTGGGCGGCCGGCGCGTGTCTGGCCGGGATCGAGATGTGCGCTGCCGGCCCGGCTGAGCCTGAGCCGTTGTCAGCCAGACGGGAAGCATGGACGATTGAGGCGGGCACACCACTGGTTTCTTAGGGACTCCGGGGGTGCGCTGATGGTCGCTGCCCTCAGTTTAGGGACGTGTGTGTGTGTGTGTGTGTGTGTGTGTGTGTGTGTGTGTGTGTGTGTGTGCGCGCG